GCGAGCCGCCCTGCCCCCCCGCCGCGCACCCCTTCTGGATGGTCTGCCGGGGCCTGCCGATGGCCTACTGGGACTACCAGGCCGCCGTGATCGACTTCAACCACGACCTCGACGCCTACGACGTGCACCAGAAGATCGGCCAGGGGAAGTACTCGGAGGTCTTCCGCGGGTGGAACCGGGGGACGGGCCGGCCCTGCGTGCTGAAAATCCTCAAGCCCGTCCGCTACCACAAAGTCCAGCGGGAGATCTCGATTTTGCAGAATTTGTGCGGGGGGCCGAACGTCGTGCGGCTGCTCGACGTCCTCAAGGACGCGCGGACGAACACGGTGGTGCTGGTCACCGAGTACGTCGAGAACGCCGTGACGCTGCGCTGGTTGATGAGCAAATCCCTGCTCGAGGACTTCGACCTTCGGTATTACGTGTACGAGATCCTGCGCACCCTCGACTTCGCGCACCGGCGGGGCATCTTTCATCGGGACATCAAGCCCCACAACATCATGATCGACCACGCGCATCGGATTCTGCGCGTGATTGACTGGGGGCTCGCGGAGTATTATTTGCACGGGGAGGACCTCAACTGCGGGGTCGCCACGCGGCATTACAAGGGGCCGGAGCTCCTTTTGGGCTACCGGCGCTACGACTTCGCGCTGGATATTTGGTGCGTGGGCTGCGTCTTGGCCGGGATGCTCTTCCACGTCGACCCGTTTTTCGACGGCGGGAATAACGAGGATCAGCTGCTGCGTATCGTGAGCGTCTTCGGCACCGACGCCGTGCGGCGCTATGCGGAGAAGTACCACGCGCAAATCCCCCGCGCGGTCTTGGCGAGTTTGGAGGGGATGGAGCCCGGGCACTGCGGGTGGCGGCGGTTTATTATGCCCTCCAACGCGCGCTTTTGCGATGACGTCGCGCTGGATTTGCTGGATAAGATGCTCCAGTTCGACCACCAAGATCGCATTCGCGCGGATGAGGCGATGGAGCATCCGTATTTCGACCCCGTCCGACGGGCCTTCGCAGGGGATCCAAATCAACGCTACCCTTTCCTTCCGGCCTGAGAGGGGTAGAATCCCAAGACGTTTTCATCACTGCCGAAGGATGGGGTTCTTGCGCCCATGGAAAGCGATGCTGGTAAAAAGAAAAAAAAACTGACAACACAGAGGAATGCGGAGGGCTATGGGAGCGGACGATATAAGTATGAAGTCATAAATCGCATTTGGTGTCGATCTCGGCGCGAGACGCTCTTGAAAAGAGGCTCACGTAACACAAAATTTCCCTCATTTTAAAGCCAACAGCTTCCAACTTAAGCCAATCAAATACTGTTGTTAGGGGTTAAATTGCTTTAATCAGTAGCGTTAATCATGATTGATAGAATTTTAAAAGAAATGCTGCGTAAATTGTGTATTTTTCTAACCATTTTCTTCACAACTAAGTAGTGTTAAAGTGAGAAAATAAAGAAAAAATGTGAATTCAATGCGTTTTGAGTTTTGAAATTCTTCATCAAGGTATGTTTTGCTTCAATTATAAATTATATCATTGATATCTATATCTATCTATATAGATATAGATATATCTTTATATCATATCTGTATGACGTTAATAGATAGCTTATATTTTCTATTCATTTATTTCTTTTTGTGTGAGGGCACTGAGTGTCCTGTCAGTGTTTGCAAAGAGGCATTTTTGAATATAGTGTTCGCTATTCAATCCACTTTTTTTTGTGTGTTTACCTAGAGTAGACTATGCCCCTTTCTTTATACTTTTTGCACTGAGGTTAACATTTTCGTGTTAAAACATGAGGTGATATCAAATGGAAAATTGTGATATATTTTTGAAAGATAGGTATTGTTGTTTTTTACTATAATATGGTAGTATGGTCCATTTTTTTGTGCATTATCCTTTATTGTTGAAATGAGCTCATCTCTGTAGTTGATTTATTGATCAAACCCAAAAAAGTTGGAGTTTAAATGTGCGAACTAAGATAAAAAACGACTGCAACAACGCGAGAATGATCCTGCACGTCTTTGATTTGCGTACGGTTCATTTTCTTTATTGTACTGTTCAATTTGAATCTAATGCACTTATTCAATTGGATTAAGACTTTTTTTTCATTATTATTTGCATTTTTCTGTATTGCATAGGCGTATAGAGATCTCGTCTATCTAGATAATGCTAAGGAAGGTGATCGAAAGTTCATTTTGTATCGAGGGAGAAGTATCAGTAGCAAAAAAGTCATAAAAAGTCTATAAAATACTCAGCCTTTTAAAAATTAATTATCCCGTTTAGAAGGTGACAGCAAAGCAAAAAAAAAAAGAAAAGCAGGAGACAGGGTATCTTAGCGTTATTTATGAGTATTTATCTAATGCAAAACTTCAGTACAACTAAATGGTCTGTCATCACGAGGAGGTGGCGGGGGCTTCACGCAATGACAGTGGGCCATACTTATTATACACCTTCAAAGAAGACGTTTTCTCTTTCTCGAGAAGGAGAGCATCAGCTGCAAAGGAGACGTTTTCCTGAAAAAAAGAAAAGCATTGACGTCTTTCGCACTTATATACATAATCTCAATAACCCATCTACCGGAAGTTCGTTTACTTCAGGGTTACGGCCGACCTCACCCGCGCCTGATGTTCAAGAGGCTCAGGGAGACAAAATGGATAAACCCATCGCTCAAAATTCTCACGGAGATCCTCCAAAGCCTTCACGGGATCGCCTTGGCGATTCCCTAAGAGGATATATCAACAAGGTGAACTCACTTGACGATTCTTCTTTGAAATTTGAGTGCTCTTCTTCCAATAATGCGGGGTATGCCAATTCTGCTTTTTTGCAGGAAGAGAGGCATTTTATACACGCACTTCGTCATCAAACCACACATCGCATACGGCAAGAGCAGCACGCCCACCTCTTCTCCGCCTTTGTACGCGCGCATGAGGTGATCAAAGAAATCGAAAAAGATCTCCGCCAGATTGGTGGGTGCAAAATGACTGGTTTTAAAAATAATGAAGGCGAAAAGACTGCTATTACGTCGGATTATTCCGTCGAGGCGCGTGTTTTTCAGCTGGTAGGGCGGACGCAGCGTGCGCTGAGAGGGCTTACCACCATTCATTACACCGCTGCCGCCACCTTACCGTTAAACGATGGGCGGGTTTCCTCGCTTTTTTCCAGGGAACAAAACAGCCGAGAGCGAGTTCGACTTCTTTTGAGCTTTGTGAAAACTGCCACCGATATTTTGCATCATATTCGCGCCTTACCGCGCCGGACGAGCTATTTTATTTCCCCTGCTCAGGCGGAAACGTACTTTCGCACCAGCGGCGTCTGCCATGCCTCGAGCGAGGCGATCAAAGCACTTTTCGCGACCGGGGATTCTTTACTGTCGATGGAAAATGCCGTCCTGCGGCTTTTTCACCTCGCGCTTTTTCTCCCGGTGGAGATGTCGCCCATTTTAACCATTCAAACGCGGGAAATCCCCGAGAGCGACGGGGGAGCTCTTCTGCCTGCTCAAATGCGCACGGAGGAGTGGTGCGTGCGCGTGCTTCTTTCGCACCCCTCCCCATCCCCCCTTTATCATCACAATGTGAAGAAACCAAACCCAATGGGGAATAGGAAGGAATGGGCGAGGGGGAAAGCGCCCAACGCGAAGGGTCTTTTCCCCTCGCAGCGCATTTCCGTTGTCCGGGCGTGCATGATGGCGACAAACACTTCATCACCCTCGTCGGGGGCGTGGGCGGGCGGGATGGGGGGGGATCGCGGCGCCTTGCGCGTCCCCTACGGCCTCGGAAAGGCCTACGCCGAAGCGCTCATTCGGGACTTCGCCCGGAATCAGGGCCCTCCCGACGCGAGTACGGCTGTCGGGGATGAAGTTCCACAAAAAGACCTCCCCTGGGAGCTCCACGTGCAGGATATGGCGACGTTGTGTGCGGCGATTATTTATTTTGAGGTCCACACGCGTGAGGCGGTGAAGCTGCTCGTGCGCGGGGCTCCTTTTTGCATGCAGGAGGTGGACTTGCTTAATGGGCGCGAGATCAGCTCTTTGATGCTCGCCTACGCGATGCTGCGGTATGATGGGAACGTTCAGGGCTCTTCCGAGGCGCCTATGGCGGACGCATCGAATCCTTCGCAAGATGAGACCCTCAATAAGAAACATAAGGAGGGAAAGAACTTTTATCTCGAGCTCGGGACGCGTGCGGGGAGGATTGCGGATTCGCTGAGCGAGGCCGATGTTGAGCGGATTTTGCGTGCGCTCGAGCTAATCGGTATTCCGCATAAGGATCTTCGGGCCTCGTTGGAGTCTAGCCTGCGTATGCGTTCCTTGAATCGTAAAGTATGTTTTAATATAGGATAATATAAAAGGGATAAGTGTTTGTTCTGTAGAAATGAAACGTTGTTAGCAAGGATGGCAAGAATGCAAAGTATTGTATCAAGGTATCTTAAGGGGACAGGAATAAACCCCTAAAGGGCAGAGAAGGAAGATTTCTTTCAACTTATTAATTTCAAGTCTATCATGTAAATGTATGTATCATTCGTGCCTATTATTCTAATCAGACAAAATTCATATGTTATCTAACTTTTCTCCCTCAATCTTTTGAGTTAATGTAGTACTTTTTTTCGTGAATTCTCGCTCACCTAACGGGAGATCACACCAGAGGAAATAAGTTCCACCTCGAATCCCTGTTCATTGAGGCATCAGTGAAGGGTGACCTTTTTGTTTTACCAACCGGATAATCTCAGGATTGTTACTGTAGCCCACCGCTTATTCATCCCCACACTAGTAACCCTATCAGTTGGTATCTCTCTGGCCTATTGTTACTAGCATTGGTTGGGAATGAACGCGAATTACAAACGACGGGATGGCCGGCAGGCCTTGGAGATGCGCGCAAAGGAGCTGCGCGTCTCCGAGCTTACTCAGTTCGACGGCAGCGGTTGGTATTCGCAGGGGAAGAGCAGTGCACTGGTAGCCCTCCACGGCCCGACGACTGCGAAAACGATTGAGCAAGACTACACCCGCTGCCGCGTTCGCGTTCGTGTTTTACACGCAGCTTCGGCGCCTTTTAGCGGGGGAAGCGAGCGGGTCAACCAGATTGAGCGCGGCCGCGTACGGGCCCATCAGCTTGATGCTAACGAGCTTGTCGGGATGGTCGAGCGGGCCCTGGAGGCGGTCTTCATAGCCGAGCGCTTTCCTTACACGGTCCTTGGCGTGGATGTGGTAATTATGGGGGAGGACGGCGGCCTACTCGCGGTGGTGATCAACGCTGTGATGTGCGCGTTATTGAGCGCGGGGTTACCCTGCCGGACGACGATGGCCGCGGTCGCGGTCGCCGCGCTGCTGACGAGCGGCGAAGAAGACAAAAAAGAAAAGGGAAGGGACCCGTCATCCTTGGTGTCGTCGTCGTTGGAGCTTCTGCTGGACCCGACGGCGGAGGAGGAGAGCCTCCGCGCGGACTCAGGGGGGGGTTCCGCGCAGGAGGGTGCACCCACGAGCTCCTGGACTTGCCTTGCGCACGGGACGTTTGTTTTTACAAATCCAAAAGCTGCGGGCGGGCTTATTGTGAGCCATTTAAAAAGGAGGTGCACAGACGCGGCCGCGCTTTCACCGCAGCAACTCACAACAATGATGACCCTTGCGGAGCGCGGCGCGAATATGTTGTTTGATTTCTTCCGCCAGTGTAATGTTCCCTTGGAGTAAATTCGATTAACAATAATGATAATAAGAATAGTGATGGTGCAAGCTCGCGGTCTCACAACTGTAACAAATACCTCTTTTTTCTTCTCCCTATATACGGAGCGATAGTTTGGATGGAGTGTCTCTTTCCTAATGACAACTTCTCAACTAAGTGGATCGGAGGCCATAATTTGATCAGGGTAAAGTTTCTCTTTATTCTCTCTGCAAAGAATGAAACAAAGAGACATTACCACGAGGGGTATCTATCTCCTACTGAGAATCTATACTTGTTAATCTATAGTCAATTATTATAGATCCTTAGACAAGTGGTGTACGTATTTAATTTAGTTTGTTCGCAACCATCTTTCCCATTCCTATTTAACCCACCCCCATTCTCACTTAGCCGCCCTTGTTTTCGTTTACTTTGTACCATCAATCGAGTTGGATTGGGCTGGAACTATACCGGCAACCTACTTTCTTCTCTTATCTCAGTATTCTTTTTTTTTAAGAAAAAGGTTTTACCCCGTTTACACACACACCTGTGACAGTACTAACTATCCCAGTATCTCATACATGACTACAATCACGCCGGCGGACCTGGAGAAGGGCCCGGAAAACCTCACCACTGACCCCTCCCTCATAGCAATGATGGCGTACGGTGAGGCGGAGGGGTGGGGGAACGGAAAGAGGCTCAGCGTGGCGGGCTGCGAAGGCCTTCTCGCGGCGGTAGCGGTCGCCGAACAGTGGGGAGGGACCTCCACGACTGCTGTCGACGCGGGCTCGCTGGAGGGGATGCTTCAGCGAGCCTCGACGGCCTTCCGCGCCGCGGAGACAAAGCTTCTCTCCGACGGCCTCACCTGTTGTGAGGACTGGCTTTCCATGCGGGATACCTTCTTCACTTCGGGGTCGCTCTTTGCTGTGGCGGGCTACCCGGACCTCGCGGCGAAGTGCTTCCTCCACGCGACCTTCATCAACAGCGCGTTTAAGGCCTCCGCGGAGGACGAGGCCCGGATGACGTTAAACCAGTGCGTGGATAATCTGAAGTTGCTTCATCCGTCGCTTGCCGTGGAGGCGTTAATGCGACTCGCGGAGAGTTATGAGCGAAGCGGAACAGGCAGCCGGCATGAGGAAAACCGCCGTGGGGGCTTTCCACCGCTGATGTGGCAAGCAGCGCGTTGCCGAAGGGATGCCGCGGAGCTGATGGATCGCCGTCTCGACAACCACGCCGCTTCAATTCCGCTTTATGAGGCCGCAATCGCGACCTTTAAACGCGCGAGCGACGAGAAGCCTTTCCGTAATGCCGCCCTCATGCGAGGGGGAGGTGGGGACGCGGAGATTCCTGTCAAAGACACCAAGGATGGGTCCTCGGTTCGGCCCTCCACCATGATCACGACCTCTCGGAAGTTCCTAGACATGTACAAGAGCTTCGTTTCTGTCATTCAAGATCGCCTGGCGATTCTCTACAGTGAGCTTAAGGAATACGAAAAAGCCGAGTTACTTTTTGTCGAAAAGGCGCAGTGCACGACCTGCGGTCTCCCCGCCACAAAGTACTACCTCTACGCCACCCTATGCGTGCTCGTTCGTGGCTCCGGAGACGAGGATCACTACTTTAATAGCCTCTATTACACCAAAAAGAGCTTCGATCGCTACCAGGAAATAGATAAGGGATTTCAGAAGGGGAAAGAGAATGAGCTGGTACGTAAAATTTTGAACGCTTTTGATAACAACTCCTTGAATTTATTTGATATAGCGCTCAACCTGTACAATTCGTACTCGACAACGCAGCCGAACCTTGCCTTTGATCAATTAACTACTCAGTGTCGCCAAAACTTGCTGGATCACCTCGAAAGGTATTCCTAAAAGGATTAAATTTTAGTGAAACAATTAAAAGGAATTGTGACGGAATATTTTTTTTTTATAAGTATAAATTAATATACATATATGTGTTGTTATATTCATGTATATTCATTCGAAATAAAGAAAAAAATTAGGAGGTTTGTGTGCTTCCCTCATTTTGCCTTGCCTATCAAAGAGTTCTGTATAGATCTTTCTCGTCTCTCGATATATTTGCAAAACCTATGTATTGTTTTTTTTATAGAGGGTTACAATTTCTATTTTATTTTATTTTATTTTATTTGTTATGATTATTTTCTGTGTCTAATTTTTGGTGAAAAAAGGTATTCCTTATTTTCTCTATCTTCCATGGAATAACAACTACAGAAAAAAGGTTGTTAACTTGCTGACATGAGCCTTGGAGTGAGTGATAAATGATGGGAAACTTGTTCTAATGTATGCGAGAAACTAAACATATGCAAATTCACATGTGCGTATCTACCATCGTCATTGTGAGTTCAGAATAGATGTATAGTGCATTATTATCGCTGATCGAAGCTAAAAAAACTTCCATGTGTACTTTTTTTAACCCTTTTCCGTGTGTTTGTAGGTGTTTCTTTTATTCATAAAGGATACCTCTTTACTCGATCTTTGTGTGAAGGGTGCGTTTATTGGAAATAATGATTTTTTTCCCGTTTTTAGTCTTCCTTTTCTTCCGGTTAAGTTGGTGGAATTGGTGGGTATCATTAACTTTTTTTATTTCAAAGTACCACATACTGCCACCACACGAAACTTTTTATTGTAGAAAAAAGGAATACCAGGAAGCAGCAGATCATAAATAATAGGATTTTCGGCATTTTTTTATTGATATTATTACTTTTCTGATTCCTCCTGACCTAGGATAGGGGTTGAAGGTTGATTTTATTCTTTTTACTTTATATACTTATTTTCCAGACGAACAAGAAACCGACTACCCTCCCCTAAAGAAAAAATAATACCAGCGCCAACTACTATTCCATCAAAATACCATATTATTATTATTAGTATTACGAAGTATGTGCAGCAATTTCGAACGCTTGGTCCTTGGGGATAACAGTGGTGCTCTCCAAAGAAAGTCTCCTTTTACCATAACTAATACCACGACTGGGAGAAAAGACGAGGCGGTCGAGATTCCTAGCTTTTTACAAGATTTCCACGACGTGCCCTCTCCAAGTTCCACGTCTACTATAGCAGCCGGCAATGCGATTCTACCCTGGATGGCGACGTGCACGGAGCCAACCAACACTAGCGCTGCTGACGACGCCGACCAGAGTCAATTCTATTCATATCGCCAGACCTTCCAGCCGGAGGCCCTGGCGAGCTCTTCCGCGGAGCGATTGCACTTCACCACGGCGTCGGGGCTGACGTGGGATCTAAAGCGGGTCAAAATTCTTGGCAAAGGCAGCTACGGCTGCGCGACGCTCTACACCCAGGAGCAGCCCGTCTCGGCCTCCTCCTCCTCCTTGCAGACCTCGTCGCCGAGCCTTTCCGGGCTGCCGGTGGGCACGTCGTCGCTGGTGGTGGTGAAGGACATCAACTTCCAAACGATGTGCAATCGCGAGGAGGAGATGGAGAGCCTGGGGAGCGAGGTCCGCGTCCTGCGCGGCGCCAAAGGCCACCCGAACTGCCTGCAGTTCCTGGACTACCACGAGGCCCAGCGCATGGCCTACATCCTCACGGAGTACTGCGGCGGCCGTGACCTGGCCTTCACCCTGGAGACGCTCCAACAGCGCGAGGGCGGGGGGTCCTCGCCCCACACGACGCGTCGGGCGGGCGGGCCGGCCCACTTCACGGAGTCCTTCATCACGTCCATGTTGATTCAGCTCAGCATGGGGTTGACCTTCCTGCATTCCGAGCAGCACGTCCTCCACCGCGACCTCAAGCCGCAGAACCTCTTCCTCCTCGAGGACGGGGAGACCCTGCGGCTGGGGGACTTCGGCACCGCCGTGCGGATGGAAGGGGGGGGGGGGGACCCTCAGCGCGGCCTGCGGATCGCCCTTTTATATGGCCCCGGAGCTCCTCCAAGAGCGCGCGTACGACGTCGGCGCGGATATCTGGTCCGCCGGGGTCTTGTTGTACGAGCTGATGGCCCTCGAACGGCCTTTTCAGGCCGCCACCATGCAGCGACTGTTGCCGAAAATTCTACAGGGCTGCTATACACGGCTGGAGAAGCGGGAGGAGCTGGTGGAGATCTACTCCCGCGAACTCTGCGAGCTTGTGCAGTCGATGCTGACGGTCCAACCAACGGGGCGACCGACCTTCCGGCGTATTTTACGCAGCGCGTGCGTGCGGCGGCACTTGGTTGATCTCCCGTTGTGTGTTCTTCTGCAAGGGAAAGGGTACTACAACGCGGTTTTTGGGAAGGCCGAGGTAGAGGAGGCGATTAGTGCGAAGACCAGGGGGGTTATCCCCAATAACGACACCCTGAATGTGTCGAAGGAGGAGGCGCAGTGGAATGCGGAGTACGAGGATGATGAATTTGAGGTTGAGGACGATTTTGAAGAGGATTGCCCGTGAAGTGATGTTTCAAATATCTGTCCTATTCCCCTTTTTTTTTCTTACATACACGTGCGCACACTTTGAAAACTGGAAAAATAGAGTAGGTTTTGTTTTGGTACATATCTTCGTCGAGTAGGAGGAATGTGCGTGGTTTCCTTTTGTTTAATCAGACTAAAGTGGATTCCGCGTGGACTCATGTTGATTTTGGTTTCTTCTTAATCACCTTTTTTTATTTGATGGCATGTATCAAACAAGACGTTCAAATGTTGAAAATGGATAATACCAGTGCAGAAACTGAAGCGAGGTTTGTGTGTATGAATGTATGTATATATATATATATTTGTGTGTGAGAATGAGAATTGCATACAAAAGACGTTGAATCATCACTTTTCACAAGGGGTTATTTTTCACATATATTTTAGATAGGTTTTGTTTATTTTCCTCGTTGTATCTGAGTTTATGGGGTACTTCATTGCATCCTTATCCAGGTTTTTATTATTCTTCCACTTTCACTTGACAGGAAAAGGGGAATTTTTTGCATAGGAATTGACGACTACGGTAAACAAAATAGTAACTACAACATAAATATAATAATAAATAGAGCGATATGAAGTTGGAATTAAGTGAGTTTATTCAGGCGTCTAGAGCCCTTCACGAGCGTCGAGATCGAGGTGGGGTGAAGCGGACTCGTTTAATGCTCCGCCTTCGTCCGCATAGCCATACAAAGACCTTCGTTATGAAGTGCACGGACGGTCGAACAACCTACACTACTTCTGTCAGCCATCAAGGACAGCTCAAACTGGTGGAGAGCCTCGTGCAGGATTTCGTTAGCACCTGCACGGCAGACTCCACACCAGTGAAGACAAATAATCCAGAGGTAGAAGCTCCTTCATCGCAGCAGCCCCCCGCGGTGAGCACGCCGCAGAATAATACTAATCCCAACAACGCTAAAGGCGGTAAGAAGAAAAAGAGAGGAAAGCGATAATGCCGATAAAGAATGGTTGAAAAAGAAAAAAAGAGATATTTTTGCAGTCGTACTTTTCAGGTGAAATGGAAAAGTAATGAAGCATTTCAAGAAAAATTATCCTTTTATTTTCCCGTAAATGTGGTTGTGGATGTGCAAGCACTATTGTGTTTACCAATATTTACCGATAGCCTTATTTATCACCTTTTCTGGAGTATGCATTTGTTGTAAAAGTATCAGAAAGGTGCGTTTGCAGTATACATTGTTAGGAAGTGTTTTTCCATCGTCATGGAAGTTTGAGGGTTACCAAGAACGTTGTGAAAGGAAATATCATGAGAAATATTGAATAATTTAATAAGCTTGTGAAAGGTTGTTTATTTCAGCCACACATTTATTTTTCCATATTGATTCATGGATCTTTTATTGCTTCGTTTGGAAAATTAAAGAAAAGCAGTGACACGCATCCCCCCTTCCTACAACGTTTAGCGGTTGTCAGCTGATATCACTTCCTTTCCTGTGGAGTATTGCATCCAAAGATAAGGGTGCTTTACAAAGTTTTGGACGCCATCACGTGTCCAAGAGGGAAGAGAAGGAGGGGGGGGGGGGAAAGAGGGGGAACTACTCTGGAAACACCGACGACCATTAAGTGGTCGGGAATAAAAAAGTCAACCCCTTAACGTGCGAGACGGTGCGATTTATTAGTCTAAACGGTACGTCTTGGCGTGTACCTTGTGAAATCTGTGAAACCTGTGACTTCTTCCATCGATACCTCGCCTTGTGCGTTGATGGAATTTTCTCCAACCTTATCTACGGTAGAACCCTTAACCAAGACCCGAGGTCCAATCCAAACTAAGCAAATAAACCCATACACACATCATAATACGATCCTTTTCAATCCCAGTTGTTCGGCTTGGGAATCGATGTTGTCCTCTTCCTCGTCCGCGACGATCGAGGCCTCCGCGCGGGGGGTGTCCTCGCTGCCGGTGGTCAAACACAAGATCGTCCTGCTCGGCCACCAGTCCGTCGGCAAGACGAGCATCATCGCGCGGTTTATGTACGACACCTTCGACGCGAGCTACCAGTCCACGATCGGGGTGGATTTCTTCTCCAAGGTCATCCCGTTCGACGCGCACATCGTGCGGCTTCACATTTGGGATACCGCCGGGCAGGAGCGGTTTCGCGCGCTCATCCCGGGCTACATCCGCAACAGCGCGGCGGCGTTGGTGGTGTACGACATCACGAGCCGGGCCTCTTTTTTCGTCAGCCTGACCTGGATCGACGACGTCCGCACCGAGCGAGGCCCCGACGTCGTGATTTTCCTCGTCGGCAATAAGCTCGACCTCGCGGACGCGGCCGCCCGCGAGGTCGGCGCCGCCGAGGCCGCCAAGGAGGCCGAGGGGCGGGGGGCGCGGTTTATGGAGGT